CATTAAAGTTAATAAACACTTGATAATCAAAAACCAGGAGAATTATGTAAAAATAATCTCTTCAGGGACAATAAACAAGAAGCAAGGTCAAATTAGCTCTGCTAACTCTAACAAATCTAAGCCAAATACCTAGAGAATACCTTTTTAAATCCAGGGGGAATGGATAAGATAACTTTGAAATTTCTGCCACTGTTAAGCCTAATCTAACTACAAACTGATAAAGTTAGAGAATTTTTCTCCGTATTTAAACATATTCAAAAATTACTATTATTATTCTTCAAAGTTTTCGATGATAGAAACCATTATCAAGGAAGGAAATAAACAACTTACACTTAAACTTTGGCTTACACCTTACACCTTTTGGAGGGTCTTTGAACAGCATAAGTTAAAGATATTCACAAGTTATTTTATGAGCAGAAGGGAATTTTTAATATTCTATTATCTAGGCAAGTAGAACTTCATTAAAAGATTGGTTTATTAAAACTAAGAAATTATTAGCACATTAATCTTCAGATTACCAACTAGTTTTTATAAGATCCACTACCAGTGGGGTCCACACACTGTATCATATAGAGTAATTTTCAGTTTTTATATGTTAAGATATTTGGCATAAAGAAGTAACAAATCAGTTAAATCATTCATTTGGAATCCCAGAACAAATGATAACGGATAGATGCTATATAGATTCTATCTGGTACTTAAATAGTTTATAAAATGTATTTAAAAAGTTGATGGGATCTGTACAGGCCCCACCATTGATCCTAGAATTAAAGTATCTTAGTTTTAACACATTTAATATAAACTTTGGGCATATTTCATAGTCATTTTGTGTTGTAATGACCTGTTTTTTTAGGTTCTTGAAAAATTAGTGAAACTTGGAAGCACAAAAGCTACTTGCTAAATATGGCTTAAAGTTTTTTTTTAATGTTCTATGGATCGAGCCACATTCACAGAGTTTTTTTCATTGAAAATTGATTAGAAATCAAGCTTTCCTTTTACAGAATAACATTTCTAAAATTATTAAATTTGTTGCTTACTGGTGATCTGGTATTGCTATAAACAGGTGATGTTATCTCCATCTGACCAGACTGTCCTATAAGTTGGTTTTCCTGCTGAGGTGGCACCATCTAAAAAACACAACTTGATGAAAAACTGAAGAATTGTAACTATAACATAACATGCAACAGACAGGTATCTCACAAACATTACTTTGACTATAACATAACATGCAACAGACAGGTATCTCACAAATATTACTTTGACTATAACATTAAAGATGTTTACATTTACATGCAACAGAAGTATACATTACCTGTATGTCACAAACATTACTTTGACTATACAATAACATCCAACAGAGGTATACATTACCTGTATGTCACAAACATTACTTTGACTATAACATAACATCAAACAGAGGTATACATTACCTATATGTCACAAACATTACTTTGACTATAACATAACATCCAACAGAAGTATACATTACCTATATCTCACAAACATTAATTTGACTATAAAATAACATCCAACAGAAGTATACATTACCTATATCTCACAAACATTACTTTGACTATAACATAACATCCAACAGAGGTATACATTACCTGTATGTCACAAACATTACTTTGACTATAACATAACATCCAACAGAGGTATACATTACCTGTATGTCACAAACATTAATTTGACTATAACATAACATCCAACAGAGGTATACATTACCTGTATGTCACAAACATTACTTTGACTATAACATAACATCCAACAGAGGTATACATTACCTGTATGTCACAAACATTACTTTGACTATAACATAACATCCAACAGAGGTATACATTACCTGTATGTCACAAACATTAATTTGACTATGAC